ACTTGATAGCGTGGACGATAGAAATATTGATATTTTTTCAGATGTTTGTTTATACTTTTACGAAAAGTGTTGTAGCCAGCAGTACGAAATGTAGGCATCTAATTCTTTAGTTTTATAAAAAATATCCAGTAGGAAAAGGTTTTCTCATTCTATAGTCAACAACACCAACTACTGGGCTTACTCTTACCAACGAATAGTGGGATTGGTCGTCACATATTATAACCTCTAAACAGCTAAAAGGACGAGAATTTTCGGCGAAGAATTTTGATGACGTGCTCCTCAGATTGCGATTTGAGCGCCTTAGCCACTAAGCCATTCCAGGCCGTATTTCATTAACAAATATTTAGCTAAAAATAAATACGTGTATTTATTTAGTAATGTCAAGAGGGGGTGATTGAATTACTTGCTGTGCCTTTTTTAATTTTAAATTAGGGTTACATGTACATATATATATATAAAGAGCGAAAGAGAAACGTTAAGAATCAGGCAAGTCGGCGTAAGTCACTGGAAACCTCTTTCCTAACTCTCTAATTCTCTAACTGTCTAACTATCGTTTCATTTCAGGAGGAATCAAATCAAACTAATTAGTCCTAACAACCTCTTGTTTCGCTACACCACATAAGTTTTTCACAACCTTGCACGTAATTAGGTTCTATACGATCCTCCAGTTAAGCATGTGCTCGTGACATGCGAAAAAGGAGTCGAAACTGCTTGCGCATGTCCAACACCACTCTCGCCTTTCTTAGCGCCATCACTAATCACGCTCTTGTTAGCGCCAGAAAATCCCAGTTCTACACGTAAACGAGGCTATAAGACTTTACAGATTAAAGCCTCACTTGTCAAAGTAAAATATTCCGTTGAAGTTACAGTAGTAAAGCTTTCTCTCTGCCATTTACAATGCTACAAAATTCGTTAGCTCCTCGTGCTCATCATTTCGTTTCTAATTCCACTGGTAATGACAGATAGGTGATAAAAAAGGCAAAACTTATGGCGCTTAATTACCAAAAAATTAAATAACTTACATAATAAGAGTCGGGAAAACTAATCAATTTGAATCTAATATCGGTTTTAAAGCTCAGAACAAACTTAGATTAACTAGGAGTAAAAGATTAAGATTTACGTAATTAAACATTTCTTCCATAAATCATATCTCTCCGAAGCGCCGCCGTTAAGTTATTGATTATTTTTGATACTATTGCCAAGGTATAAACTTATAATGATCCAATTTTTTGTCTATTTCTGGTTCTGCAAGTGGAATTATTTTAATTTTTTAAATTTCTATCCAACAACAACAACAAAAAAAAAAAATTAGCCGTTAACATCACGTGACATGTGATATTCCACGAGGTTAAAATTCTGTGTCCGTAACCAACTTAATTAGAACATTTACACATAAATATGTATGGCGAAACATTGAGGGTATTTTCTCGCTATAACCAATAACCGTGCACAACGACATGACTAAGGTGTCCAGATCTGGCTGTGATAAATGGCGTGACTAAGGTGTCCAGATCTGGCTGTGATAAACGACATGACTAAGGTGTCCAGATCTGGCTGTGATAAACTCCGTGACTAATGTGTAGAGATTTAGCTGTGATAAATGACGTGACTAATGTGTTGAAATGTGGCTATGATAAATGGCGTGACTAATGTGTCCAGATCTGGCTGTGATAAATGGTGGGACTAAGGTGTCCAGATCTGGCTGTGATAAATGGTGTGACTAAGGTGTCCAGATCTGGCTGTGATAAAGGGTGTGACTAAGGTGTCCAGATCTGTGTGACTAAGGTGTCCAGATCTGGCTGTGATAAAGGGTGTGACTAAGGTGTCCAGATCTGTGTGACTAAGGTGTCCAGATCTGGCTGTGATAAAGGGTGTGACTAAGGTGTCCAGATCTGTGTGACTAAGGTGTCCAGATCTGGCTGTGATAAAATATGTTCCTTACTGAAACTTCTTGAATTTGTCTTTTTTAATAACGAGAAGAAGAATGTCAGTTTACATTATAATTCAGAAGACTTTTCTGACACAAAATATTCATACACTTAGTTCTCTAAGATGTGTTCAAATCGGAGATTTAGAATTACCAAGACGGAGATATCCCCTTTACTTAAAGACATTAGAAAACAAAGAAACGTGTATCAACTAGGGACACCAAGACCATTCAGAAAGAGACCTACAAAAAAGACATTCCCCAGCCATGGTAAGCAAAGTATGACGTCTTGTGAAAAGTGAGAACCCATGAACACAAAGAACAGTGATAAATCCGTCCACGTGCCCCAGGCAACAGTGTGCAGCATAATCAAAAATGATCTTCTTTTGGAAAAGCTTCGCAAGTCACGTGTACAGAAGCTGCTTCCACAACATTTACATTCAATCAGTGCATCCGTCAAACAGTTGGAAAATGAAAAGGGTATTTATGTTCTTCCATAAAAAGACATGCTGGTTAATTTGCCTGTGCAATCTAACTACTGAAGTGAAAACTGCCATCCTCGTACACTAGATGGGTTATGGAAAGCCCACAGGTAGGAGTAGAGTGCTTTGAGCATTACATTCTGACAACGGACCTTTTTACAATAGAAACTATGCTGAAGGGCTATTATCAAGGTGCATGGTCGTTATGTAGAGCATGTGGAAGGTACCATTGATTTGGTTGGCTTGTTGGAGTACTGCTCCTTTTCAGAAATAGTTATTCGGCACATTATGTCATAAAATATCATATAAAGACCGAAACGTCGTTTCACTAGTAAAAAAACGAACCAGTTAAAAACTCCAATCCTACAGTTTCTACGCTCTTTAAAAGAATATAAATAAAAAGGCCTTTCGTTAATCCTCACTTTCAAAATACTCAGGTTTTGCTTTTCTTCTACTCATGAAATATATTTTCTTTGTGAAATAAGCTTGTTATATCAAACTGTCATGTTACTACACGTTATTTATTCGCTGTTCTGAACCTCGTGGTTAGGGGGCGCTCGACTCGCAATCTGAGGGTCGCGGGTTCGAATCCCCGTCCCGCCAAACATGCTCGCCCGTTCAGCCGTGGGGGCGCTATAATGTGACGGCCAATCCCACTATTCGTTGGTAAAAGAGTAGCCCAAGAGTTGGCGGTGGGTGGTGATTACTAGCTGCCTTTCCTCTAGTCTTAAACTGCTAAATTCAGGACGGCTAGCGCAGATAGCCCTCGTGTAGCTTTGCGCGAAATTAAAAAAAAAAAGCAAAAAAAACAATCTAGAGACGACAAAATGTGTTACTCTTATCTTGTTTCATTTTTTGACGTGTTATTTCATTCCAGCCCCACAGAGGACACTGGTGTAGTAGAGAAAACAGAGTTAATATATACTTTATTGGAGTATATATGTATGGTTATGTTCTTATTTTAACCATACATAGAAATTATGCTAACGAACAGACAGACAGGTTTAGGGTGTTTGAATTGTTCTTTAGTGGCCTCAGAGGAAAAATAACATTATTAATATTGAAAAACGAGTATTATAAATTTATTTATTCAAATCAGTCGGTGGATATACCGTATGAAAGGCTTAGATTTGTGAAGCTTTTTTTTATATGTGTGGTGTTGTGAGATGTCTATTCCTGACACAGTAATCTGATATCTTTATAGAATTTGAAAAAGCAATATTGATGGTACTAATTTATTCTTCTGAATTATTCAGCAGACAAACTGGATGAAACTAAATCTTTCATTTGGTTCCCTATTTGTGATTCGGCTGCACCGGTTTTGGAGGATTTCACTCCTCTTGATCTTTCGATTTGCCAGGTTTACTGATGAGGGGCTGAATTCCCCCAAACCGTTAGAACTCGGCGACAAGTCGTGAATCGGGCTTGGCCTTCATGTTTATTTGTAGTTTGTATTTTCATCTCAACAAAATTGTGAGTTTGGGCAACGAAAAAACGAGAGATCTAACTATTCCTGTCATCTTCTACAAGATTCCAGGTTTGGTGATTAAAAAAAAAAAAACAACTTGCTTTTCCAAACAAAAAATATCCGTTGAATAACGTGAAAGTATGTTCAATATGAATGTTATTTACTTATTAAATACCTATTTTGATATAAACAAATATTACGCACATAGACTACAGAACGTTATTACAAAAACATGTCTGATATTGGTAGTTCATTAGAGTTAATTTTGGAACTTTTCTCATAAAGTCAGTCACGTGTGGTACACCGAAGACTGGAGTATATTTATTTCATTTCTACAGATAAAGTTTGTTTTGGTTGTTTGTTCTTTATAGCAAAGACACATCTGCTATGTCTATCGAGGGGAATCTAACCCCGGATTTCAGCGTTGTAACTCCGTAAACTTACCGATGTGTTCGTGATCCACTATTTAGCGGAGGAAGCTACTGTCTGCCCATGACCTTTGACCTGGCTGTCTTGCCCACGCATGTGTCGTATAAAGTTTATTAAATTCGACCTAAACCTCGCGGTAATAAGTCACGTTGTTCGCCATAGTATGTTAATTAGTATGACGTGACAGTGAATTGGTCAAAATATGTAGAAACGGTTAACATATTTAATAACTAGTCCTTTACAATTTTTGAGAAAAAGACATGCGCAGAACCGTCCAATGAAATTTAAAGATCTTAAACGTTTACAGGTGATTTAGACGCAAACAAAGGTGAAATTCAGAGTGATCCTTCTGGAGAAAGTCTTGGTGAACTAATTTAAAAAGTAGTACGGATAGAAAAAGAACGACATTTCGAAAACAGTTATCGATTAGAATCTGATAGATATTAAGTCAGTGAAGATTAACAAAAAAAATAATTTAAAAGTAATCAACATTTCAAACAACGGTGTTTTAGGACTAATTTAATATATATATATATATATATATTTGTCTACGAACAAGATACTGACGGTTTATATATTGGATTTATTCCTTATATTATTATATATATATATATTTATCTTGTGCTGGAAAATATTGAAAGATTTTTAATTTTCAAATCATATGTAATTAAAATCATATTTATTTTACCACCAGATGGCAATGTCAACCCTTCTCATGTGCCTTCAGTTTTCTTTTTTTATGACTGCCAAAGCTGTTAACGCAGGTAAGTCCTATTTTCATGACTTCCAAAGCTGTTAATGCTTTTAGGTCTTTTTTCATGACTACCAAAGATTTTTATTTAGATAAATCTTTATTTTTCTAAAAGATGCAGTTCGCAGAATAAGACACAGAAAAATATAAACCCACTTGCTTGGGTGAATTATTTAAAAACTGATCAAAAAATGTTTGTTAACAAACAAAAACTTAAAAATATATTAGAGTATTACTAAACTTTACTGACTCCAATTAAAGATTTACCAATGAAGTGTTCAAAACGTAAATAAAATAAAATAAATATTCAGTCTTGTTTATAATCTCTCACTTAATTTGGAAATTATATAGAATAAAAAAATCAAAGAATCAGAAACCCGACAAGTGAATTCCGACTGTTTTCAGGCGTTAGACTGTCCTTTTCACAGGGTATATTTCCAATCCAAAGGTCTATTTTCCGAAAGCTCTCGGAATTCACTCACGAAAAAGACCGAATATTTTCCGAAAGCGCTCGGAATTCACTCGCGAAAAAGACCGAATATTTTCCGAAAGCGCTCGGAATTCACTCACGAAAAAGACCGAATATTTTCCGAAAGCTCTCGGAATTCACTCACGAAAAAGAACGAATATTTTCCGAAAGCTCTCGGAATTCACTCACGAAAAAGACCGAATATTTTCCGAAAGCTCTCGGAATTCACTCACGAAAAAGAACGAATATTTTCCGAAAGCGCTCGGAATTCACTCACGAAAAAGAACGAATATTTTCCGAAAGCGCTCGGAATTCACTCACGAAAAAGACCGAATATTTTCCGAAAGCGCTTCGGTTAACAGGTTTCTTAGTTTCTATTTTAAATATATTTTCAAAAGGATTTTCTTCACTGAGATATTAAAAGATCTAACACAAACAAACAACATCAAATAGAACCCGAGTTCTAAACAAAATCTGTAAAATCAAACATATACATTTTAAACGTTTACGTCACATAAACGATCATATAATACGTTTCTATGTAACTAGAAATCTAAACTGTTAAAAGACAAAAATAAGTACCTTTTTTTCATAAATTAATAAATCTTTGTTTCCAGTTTGTGATGCTACAAATGAAAGTCAGATTCCGTCGGAAAATTTATACTTTTCGTTACAAGAGGCCCGGCATGGCCAGGTGGTTAGGGCGCTCGACTCGCAATGTGCGGGTCGCGGGTTCGAATCCCCCTCCAACCAAACATGCTCGCCCTTTCAGCCGTGTGGTCGTTATAATGTGACGGTCAATCCCACTATTCGTTGGTAAAAGAGTACCCCAAGAGTTGGCGGTGGGTGGTGATGACTAGCTGCCTTCCCTCTAGTCTTACACTGCAAAATTAGGGACGGCTAGCGCAGATAGCCCCCGTGTAGCTTTGCGCGAAATCCATAGCAAACAATCCTTATAAGCAGCGCCACCTATTGCATGAAACTACATCTCTCTTAGCGTTAATTAAATAGGGACATCAGCTCGTGGAACGAGGATGATAATAGCCAGTTTCTGTTCTCTATTCCTTTGATTGTTTTGCAACCTGAGAGACTTGTACGAAGAAAGGAAAAATATCATCTTGTTTACTTTATACCACAACGTACTGTTTCTATCAGAAATTATGGGATTTCCACCAAATAATATATAAACGCTGTTTTAATGCTGTGTTTCCTAGCACGTGGATTGACACCCGGCTCGTGCTATGATTTTTCCGAGAACTTTTCTGTACGAATTGTGTGTGTGTGGTCAGATAAGTAATAGTAGTAAAATCTGGTGTTTTTGTTTGTTTGTATTCAAAAATTATTAAATTTAATGATGTTATTAAATACTTTACTAAATCCAAGCTTTTAGTATTCGGAAACATTGTGAATCTCACAAACAGACTTTTGTAGTCAGAGAACATATGTAGGATTATAAACATATCCACACAACCAAACTACTGTAGTCAGAGAATGTATATAAGATCACAAACATATCCACACAACCAAACTACTGTAGTCAGAGAACGTATGTAGGATCAGAAACATATCCACACAACCAAACTACTGTAGTCAGAGAATGTATGTAGGATCAGAAACATATCCACACAACCAAACTACTGTGGTCAGAGAATGTATGTAGGATCACAAACATATCCACACAAACAAACTACTATAGTCAGAGAATGTATGTAGGATCACAAACATATCCACACAACCAAACTACTGTAGTCAGAGAATGTATGCTATAATTTATGTAATTCAACTTTCTTATGTTTTTCTTTCTAGTTACAGATTTACAAGAGCTATTAAAACATTAAGACCACAAAACATAAAGCTATTAAAACATTGAGACCACAAAACATAAAGCTATTAAAACATTAAGAACACAAACATAAAGCTATTAAAACATTGAGACCACAAAACATAAAGCTATTAAAACATTAAAAACACAAACATAAAGCTATTAAAACATTGAGACCACAAAACATAAAGCTATTAAAACATTAAAAACACAAA